TTTGCATAGCTGTCAAAAATTCTCCCAGCTCGTGCGTTTGTTGATATCAGGGTCTATCAGGCTATGCAAACACAGGAAAAAAGTTTTCTATTGCTTTTATAAAATAACTTTCCGGAGAAAAAAGAAAAACTCTTTGTTTAGGTTACTGGTTAAGAGAGAAATTCTTACCAGTCGCGAAGTCTTGTACACGAGGCTTAATGTACTTCTCATCTGTTCTTGTTTTGCAATAAAGATGCTTTCCAAAAAGATTTTCCAAGTTTCATCCGCCGAGTGAATGGGTAAGTTAAGTAAATTTGTCGAGTTTTCAACTCAAAAATATTCTAAAATTCGTGCTTGTGTGATTAGCGTACGAAGAGCAAAACATCTTGACTCCACACATGTTTACGTACTCTCATGCAAACACATCTCTCGGCCAATCAGAGCGCGCGTTACGCGCGCGTACTATCTTAGTTATTTATAAACGTTTTTTTGTTGATTAGATCTCTTTTCTAGAGATCCAACGTTGACAAGCAACAGGATCTTCGTCCAAGGTTTTTGCAGTAAATTTCTTAACAAAAATGCAGTAAGAAAAACTTTTTAAGGCTTACAGGTATTTTTTTTATTTTGTCCCTTTACAAGCAATTTATTTGTAAACGTCAAATTACACAGTGCATAAGGAAATGTACCGAAGCTCATTAAATGTTTTCTCCAAAAATGCGGTGCTTATTTGAGGGCGGCGCTTAAAATCATAGTAATACCTCTTAGTAGTAGTACCGTATTTATTAAATTCCCCCCCGCCACCCCCTAATGCGGCGCTTATTTGAGTAATTACTGTTATTTGCATTTTAAGAGTTTATTACATTTAGGACACAATGTTATTACATTTAGGACAAAATGTTATTACTTTTAGGACTTTATTACATTTAGGGTCGTTTACTAAATTTAGGCCTTCTACAGGCCTGACATTGTAAGTAAACGTTTTAATTCAACAAAAGGAAAATGATGTTTATCGAGTGACTAAGTTATGCTAAGAGAAATCTTCACTTAGACGTGTCAACTGATCAATTATGAAAAAAGGGCCTGAAGCCGGCCATAGCAGAATGCGCACACCATGAACACGATAAGATGAAATAATGAGGTTCAAACGCACGAACCACTTCTTTGCAAATAACACGTATCCACGTAATATTTACACAGTTTCCAAGATTTTTATGAGCTTTCTAACGCCAGTTAGCTTGTGATCGTGATAAGCCTTTCATACCGGGTTAGGATTTGTTTTTTTCTGTGAAAAAATTGTACATAATTAAAGCTCTTTAGTTCTGATAAGGTTAATGCAGTTAATAGTTTCTTTTTTCTGCTATTATCATGATTATTATTATTATTATCATTATTATTATTATTATTATTATGAGTCGCTGAAATAAACCTGTCAACATTAGATGGAGGAAAAAACAGCCCAGTGAATCAAATATTATCCTTGGGTTTGTCGGTATTACTGCGGAGGGCTTGTTCAGTGGTTTTGTGTTTATAATGAGTGTTGTTACATCTCAGTCTTAATAACAATTTTCACTTAACAGTAAAAATTCCGTGTTTTTCAAAGCCAAACATTTTCACCGGTGATTAATATTTTTTGCTTCAAAAAGGCCGGCCTAGCTAGTTCGACTTACGCTACTTGGATTCTGACAGACCCCTACAAGGTTTTTTCCAACTTTTGACATGGAAAAGTCAGGGAAAATCAGTCGACACCACTGGAAAAAGCGCCTTAAAATTAGTAAAAATTGCCGAATTTGAAAGTGATACGTCTTTAGCGAGCAAAGATATAGCGCCGTAAGGTTGCGAAAATTTACAGACGTTTGTATGGTGGGGGGCAAGTTTGTTCAAAAGTTGAAAAAAACCGCGTAAGGGTCTATTGATCCGAAGTTGGGAAGAGACATTTACTAATTGTGAGATGTCAATCTAAGTGAAGCAAAAGGATTATACTAGTAAGAATTTCATAGTTGCTAACGCGCTTCGCTTTTCCGAAAAGCGAGTCAAGCCCATTCGATTGAAAGGATTCATATTAATAAATATGTTTTTAGCAGCTATCGTATGAATGTATAGCAAAAATGGCTGCGAAACATCTTTCTAATCTGTGTTTTACTGGACTGGATGATAAGCCACAGTTACAAGTGAAAGTGACACAAAAGTTTCACGCAAAAGACGCGTAACATTTTCACTGTTAGGTTTAGCTTTTCTGGTTGGTGCAGTGTACTGAATTCAAATTGTGAAGAGCTGCGCATGCCCTGAGCATGTATAAACAGAAGTTATTTAAATGGCTGACATGCCACACGTAACCCAATGCATAATTATAAGTGTACAGCTCTACCTTAATTACGTCTTTCACCATTCCCCGCCCCCCTTCCCGGATTAGATGCCAGTCTATTACAGGGTATCAAGACATATCGTTAACTGCCGCTTATAAGCTCCCCCACTTAACAGCCGCCCTTCCCCCTCCATCAGAAATAAAAGGCCCATCTATTTGTAAACTACATCTGATTATGAGCCCCCTCCCCTAGTCCCCCCCTCCGGATATAAGCCTCCTTCAAAAGTATTGAAACGAATTCGATTTACTATGACGGATTTTAATTTAAAGGAAGAAAACGCAGAACTTATTTTTGATCTACAACACTTTTTCTCGGATAAAAAGCCCCTCCTAAAACGCCTTACGAAGATGTATAAGCTCAGGGCTTAAATGCGCCAGCTTACGCCGGTACCCTCCCTTAATTCATTCAACTAGATCAGGATGTATGGAGTTAATGAGGAACAAGGAATGCCTGGAGCCACCAATTAAGTCCACAGGATTTTTTTTTAAATCATTCTTTTTTTAATTGCAGATTTAAATCATTGGAAACATCAGTAAATTTAAGTCCCTAGCATAAACTAGGAAAATCAGTGTAAGTACACACAATGTACCAAACAAGATGTGTATCTTGACCTCTTATCATGGAATTCAACCTGTTAAAGTTAAAGAAAAGAAAGGTTGATCAATTTAATATTGACTGGTTAGTATTCCTGCTATCAGCAAGGGCTGTTCATTTGCTTTAAGAGACCAATTTCAATATCTTCAGTTATAAAATTCATACTAGGCTTGGGGGTATAAAGCAAAAGAAATCGTCATGAGTCTCCGTAATGAATGATACATTTCTTTTGTTTTATTTCATATTTATGTACCAAGACCACTGAATAAGCTCGAATTTTCGTCATGTCATGAGGGGGAAAAAACTAGAACTCTGAGAATACTGTCAGTTGAGGCACAATGAGATCCCAGAACAACGATAAGTTGCCGTAAAAAAGTCAGTGCGAAGAGAGTCAAGTCCATTTTCTTTAGCAACTTTTAGTTTGCTGTTACCCATCCTTTCTTTTAAATGGCAAATTCACAGTTTCATTTCAAACCAACATGTATCCCGAGCGTTATGTTTGAATCTAAAACAAAGATAAACTTAAATAAAAAATTATCAACTAAGGTTGTGAATATATTAAAATCATATATGTGAACTGCGGAGTGAAGAAGTATATGAATGAAGATCATGGCAGTTATATACGCAACTTTTGCAGTTGCGAAAAGGAAGCCTGAAAAAAATTCTGGCTTGTACGGGATTCGAACCCTTGATCTCTGCGATGCCGGTGCAGCGCTCTACCAATTAAGCTAACAAGCCAACTGAGAGAACCCGTGAAAGGATGTTGATGTACTTTTGAATATATGAAAATCATATATGTGAACTGCGGAGTGAAGAATTATATGAATGAAGACCATCGCAGTCATATATATACGCAACTTTTGCAGTTGGGAAAAGAAAGCCTGAAAAACTTCAGTCTTGTACGGGATTCGACCCTTGACCTCTGCGAACCGCTCTTCATGCATATAATTCTTCACTCCGCAGTTCACATATATGATTTTCATATATTCATAACTTCATCATCTTCCTTTCACGGGTATATAACGAACCAATTCAACGCGGACCTGCTCCCAGTTGGCTTGTTAGCTTACTTGATAGAACTCTGTACCGGCATTGCAGAGGTCAGGGATTCGAAGGATTCAAGGGGTAGGTGGATTCTGTCCTCCTTCTCCTGTGGATGACATGAACAAAAAAATCCTCCGTACACTCAAAGAACTTTTCATAATTTATCACTGTAGACTTATAGACAACTACTGAATATAATGGGGTGGTACAAATTGAGGTAAGATGAGGCACCCCACAAAGGTCCACAAACCACGTCCACAAAATCCTTTTGACTTCCTTTTACTTAATTAAGGAACGACTTTGAATGTTTCTTACTACGTCAACCCTATAAGTCTTTCTTATAACGTTAACCATATAGAAAATGGAGAAACAAAATGGCCTGTTTTCCAATACCAGGGACAGAGGGACCCTATAGCAGAATATCAGTACTTCAGAACCAAATAAAACACTTAATTCATGTCAGTCATATCGAATACAGGTCTGACTCAAATTCAAGTCTGCAATGGAATTTCTTGTGCCCGGCAACTTTGTCTCGCTGAGTTCTCCGATAACATTACAAACGCTATCTATTCTACACAATCCTTTGCTACTTTTGGTGGCAAATGTGGCTTGGGCCCTGTTGACACTGATACATATGGGAAATTTCCTGGGTTATCCCCGTCTTGATCGTTAGTTGAATCCCGGGCGTTGTTGAGCTGTCTGCTTTAAGCCACGGCTTTAACCTGAAGGTTGGTGGGGGGCAGGGGGGGGGGGGGGGTGGGGGGGTGCCGGTGCCTTGATTTAAATCTTGGTAGGAAAAACCGGAAGAGGGGGCGGTAGGGAAAAAGGGTAAG